AATGCTATGGATTTAGCGTCTAGCGAGAGGACGTCTTCACCTCGCAGACTAACCACTGTCAGTGCCACTGGAAGATAGGTGGTGCTATATCCCAGTTAGCTTGCAAATTATGTAGCCCAGCCAACGTCCCCCATGGCTAAGTGGCTTAAGCTACCGACTAGTTGGCATCTGCCCCTAGCGGTCATGGGTTCGATCCCCAGTAGGGTACCCAGGGAATGCGCACCATTGATGAGCCTCAATAGGATGAAACGCGTCTGGTGCTGTTCCGGACTAAGCTCTACTATGTAGCTTGGGAACTACTGGGATGAAAGACTTATCAAAATTATCGACGCCTCATTCTATCCGTTGTGTCAGTCAGAGGGCTACAGAACCGCCACCAAGCGGTGTGCTTCCAATAGTTAAACCAGATGATTTATAAATTTATTATTTATCACTCGAAAATGCCGGTTGTTCTAGCATGTCTGAATGCAGCCACTATTGTGTTTTCCAAGGTACTTATTATTTTATTGTGATTTCTTGTATTTTCAAAAGATTCCTTCTTACAGGAATTGTTAAGCATTTCTTTATACCCACAGTCTACCACTGTTGCACAATCCGACTGTCGGTACAGTCATAGATCATGGAAGCCACTACTGCTGAAGCGCTAGCGGCCCACTTGGAAGAATTCAACTGGTTTGCATCAGAACAGCATGTTATCCCACAAAATCGATCTTGCACTACAAATTTGCTACTTGCACAATCAAACAGAACAACAGCAGTAGACACTGGCACAGGACTTGCTGCGATTTGTATCGACTTCCCAAATTCTTTCGACCGGTTAGGCCATAGCATTATGCCCTCCAAATTCTAGGCCTTTAGTATTGGAGGTGAGAGTGCGTGAATCCCCATCAGAAACCACCCAAGTCGAATGCGGAGTACCACTGGGATCGGTGCTGGAAGCGTTATTTTTCACGTATATCAACGATATAACACAGCTCCTAAGCTCGAAATATCCACTCTATACTGATGAGATCAAGGTGTGGAGGGCGATCAATACACCAGACCATATTACACCACTTAAAGCTGTTCTTGATAGTTTACGCGTGGTCAATGCAAAATCTACTTCAGTTCAATATGGACAAATGTAAAGTGCTGCACATACGGAATCAGGTTGTGTGCTCATACAAACTCCGCAACCAGGAGCTTCAAAAATCGTCTGGGCAGAATGACTTGGGTGTTTTGGTCCCGGCCGACATTGAATGTTGGAATCAGGCTGAAACCACTTCAAGGAGGGGCATTAAACACTTGGTCATCTGAAACATGCATTTGGAAGATTCTATCCATCGTTTTTTCCACAGATTCTCGCCTCATACGTACGTTCACATGTGGAATACGCAATCCGTATCTAGCAGCCATGGCTGAGATCTCCTAAATATTTAGAAATACCCTGAGGCCGGGTAACCAAGAGTATTAAATTTTGTATTATTTGCTGTGTGAACAAAGGCTTCCAGTGACCGGGGTCTTCAGGGGACTATACCGGCGGCTGCGTGGGGACCTTGTTTAGACTTACCAGCTTTTCAAAAATCCTAAACACGCGTACCGCCATTTGCTAGAGAGCAGTTACAACAGTAATCAGATAGATATTATCTCAAACTGGCACAACAATATAGTTGTTTGGAATGTCGTCAAACTTTCTTTGCGGTATGTGTTTGCTAGACGTGGAATGCCCTACCGGAATCTGTCATATGGGCTCCCACACTGGCAGTTCAAAGCCCAAGTTGACCGTGCACTTATTTCGTTGCACCAAAAGACATGTTTCATTGCCCTTGTTTAAACGTGATTGCCTTTCAGAGTGTTCACTGTCGGTCAACACTCAGAGTAAGTAGCACCTTTTTCATCTCCTGTATGTGTTCATCAGAAGGCGTCACAATTTTTACCAACGTTCAATTTGTTATCAACCCTTACTGATTTACAGTGAAGTTACGGGTCATAATACTTATGCCGTGCGAGTCGAGCAGTGTGAACATGGTTTGGCTGGCAATTTTTTCTCTAGTTTGCAATTTGCACCATTGTTTCATGTGACTCACTTGTATCCAGATGTGGTTCCAGCGTCACATTTGTGTCCACGGGATGGGAAACCCATGCGTATGGGGTCAACGCACTAATGAATGAGAGCAAGGTACCAAGCCCACACAATGTGGTGATAGTGCTGTCCACGACCAGAAGCTTTTTACTACGAAGCGGCTTACACCGATGAGTGCCGTCATTCCCAGTGTCATCGCATGCAAATTCAGCATTCATTTTCCACTTCAATTCCGCTTCCTCTGTACCAGACGCCGGTTCGCTAGGCAAAGAATGTTCATTTGTATATCTTCATCCTGCGTTGTTGAGGCAGCCAATCCCCTTACTAGTCAGACCAACACTGCATGCAAAATCACATGATTGGTGGCGTTTGCGATTGCGTGTGAGGAACCGGTTGCGTGGATTTACTTTCCAATTTTATAGGTAGGTACCACTTAATCAAGGGATAAGTAGGGGAGTGTAATTGAATGGTAGTGGTTAATGCTCCAATAAGACAAGGTGATCATAGTTGAAGGAAAAAATCCTACACGTTCCAATGACAAGGCTGATAGCTGTGCTACAACGTACCAAACGGCGTAACGGTTTCACCCTCGAGTCTCAGAGTTTCCAGCTTCTTGTAACTAGGCTGAGAGCAAGGAGAGGGTGGAATATAAAGTGAAGTGTTAAAGGCAAACAACGTCGAACATAGAGAGCCTTTCCAGCTTCCAACTAGTCTGTCGGGAAGTGTATCAATTGATCTATTTGTTGCAGAAAATTGCTTCAGTGATCGCTTTCTCAGAGCATTCCATTAATTAATTTTGTTATCACTGAAGTCCTAAATTCAGATGCATCCACTTTGGTGACCTGCCAGTTTATCCATCGCCATCCTCTGGACTCTGTTGAGATATTCATCAGATGGGTATATACAACTTCCTGACAACCTTCTCAGACAAACTGATGGTCGGTTTTAGTTCACGTTGACTTTTCTGAGGGTAGACGGCTTCGAATCGATTAGAGACATAACATGTGATTTATTTATCGGCCGATGTTCTTCTAAAATGCTGAATTTGCACTGCTAATTTCCAAAATGAAATGCTGCCATTTGCTAGGGTGCGTTAATAACCATTTGATGTCCAACGTTTGCGAAAATGACCAATAAAATACCGGTTAAAGCAGCTGAAAACTGCGACCGTAGTCCCGATGGTGCATTAGAGCTGCCAGGTGGTTTCCAGAGGTCGGTTACCGCTTGACGAATCTATGTGCGATGAGACTAGAATGCACATGGGCGCGAGGTAATGAGAACCAATTAACTTGTATCGACATAAAGTTGAATTATAACTTCTGCGCAGCAAAGATTGGGGATACAACGACGTTCATGGAAAGCGAATATATGATTGGTAAGAATGTTGTCATCTTAGGAAGGCCAGATGATTCACGCTGGTCATTAGTAACACAGCACCTCGTATTCTGACACAATGAGGTTCCAGTGCGCTTCGCCAATTATCGTCCGGTTTCAGCTATTCGGAGACAAAAATATGACTGGGAATAACGCGGTGTTGCTCCTCCAAACACTGGCACATCACTACCGCGGTTTCATCCTGGTTTGGACTCATCAAGTGGAGATAGCCTGAGCTGGGGTGGAACTCAGTACCTAGTAGTTCACGGCTGACGCCCTGAACACCACACTAGGAAGCCTCTCACCGAGGCTACTCTACGCTACTGCAGGCCACGCAATTACGCAATTATCGCGTCACTTCAAGTGGTGACGAAACGTTTGTAACAAAATTGCCAAGCTCAGCGAACCGTTCAACCGCCATCTTAACAATCTGAGCTACCAGTCTTCAATTCTATGGCCAACAGATGTGATACTCGGATAACAGAAGATAATCCTGTCCCCTAGAATTTTGCATAGTATATATAGTATATATATAGCATAGTATATAATGGTGAAAATTAGTCACTCTATGGCTAAGCCAGAAGCAAAGTATGCCAGTTTACGTGCAACTCCCGTAGAATTCAAATGCATTACTTTTGAGTCCCAAGAGAACTACTTATCCGAGTAAATTCTTCCTGCATTTCAAGCGTCTGCCTGAATGAACCCAGCTGCAACAAATGTTTTCTAGAAACAATGAAGATTTACAGCTCATAGTAACAAAACAATGCTCTATATTCTAACGCCAGAGATCCCAGTACCGATAACGACTTCAGCTGTTTCCAAAGGATGCCCACTTTACCTTATCGGGATTGGTCGGTAGTGTGTATCATGCACGCCGACCACAAACTGAAGCTTTACTTTCTCGATTCCACCGGTTTACGTCACTGGGTTACAGACGACGGCGATAGAAAACCACGGATGACCGTATAACTTCACGTTATCTGTCTTACTATACATATATAATTGTCGACGGTGCGAGACACAGACTAACGACGTTGCCTGCATCTGTCATGGTTTTGTTGCTTGTTATCTCATTTTTCTCTTCCTTTTGTCTTAACGATACCACCAAATAATGTATCCCATAGACCGTGTTCTGGATTTTATTTGGTGTCACTTTCCTTTATAACTCGATGCCAAAAATGGGTTGTTGTCTATATATTTTCCTAATCACCCTGTGTTCATTATTTTGTACAATGCTGTGGTTCACTGATCATGCTTTGATAGGCATGTCGCGCACTGCCAAGAATAAACATTTAGTTATGACTGCGCTAGCTGTTATATAGCTCCGTTCATCCTCCATCACCATAAAGTCGTGAGTTTGCGAAGGAAGTGTTTGTCTCCGGGGACAGACATTCCTTCCAGTAGCTATAACATAAAAGGTAGGTGGTATAATTACTTTCAGAACATGCTGGTCGTCGTCGTTACTCTGACCAGGTATATGATATCCAGAGAAGAATGAATATCTGAAGTGAAGGTTTGAAGCCTCCAATTCAAATGTTTGCCCACGTGAGGCGGATAGCTAAACACCACCTAGTGAACCTGAAATCTTTACTGGAAATAAAAAATCCACAAATGGTGAAAGAACTGATTGACCTGAATGGTCAGCTTTTGGAAAAATATTGGCTTGAATGATAGGTAAAGCTGATGGTGATTGTAGCTGTAGCAGGCGGACAAGTAGCAATGAGTCTAGGCCGACCTCTTGTTTGCTTACGTCTATGGACCCAAATCCATGAGACCGAGTATATAATTGATCTGTAATGGCGAGAAAAGAGCTCAAGCGGATGCCACTAGAAGAACAATCGTATGGAATTTGCCACATTGTGAGTGGCTCTGATAATTGAGAGTTATAAACTGAGCATGTGATTATTTGGTAGAATATTGTTCGAGGCCTATGATTTATTGTTCATTTACGGGGGGCCCATTACGACAGTGACTTGCCTGCTTTTGAGTCATTGCGACACACGACAAAATGAGGTGCAGAGGTGCGGATGAAACTTCTTGAGGGGCTGCCCCGTATGGAACCGGGTCCCAAGGAGTCGGTTCCACCGATGACCATATTAATTCACTTGATTCTTCTTATTATACATTTATTCGTTGACTTGGATCTGTTGTGACTCCTGTTCCTTGTCATTTCTTGCTACCTTCATAATATGTTGGCCTGTAGCATAGAGGTAATGTGCTTGTCTCGTAATCTGGCGGCGCGGATTCGGATCCGCGTAGGGGTCGGCGTCCTCCCAGTATACTCTGCCCGCGTGCAACTGGTGGTGGTCGCACGGCAACGAAGCCTCGTTGCGGCATACAGCTGATACATTATTTCATTATTAGTTATTACCTGCAGATCATACTACCGATATAGCCCACTTTGTATCAACCTGAGCACGACACAAGGGGTAAGTCTTGTAGTAATGAGGACATACATTATCATTACGTTATCCTACAGCAGACATACAATGCTTAAAGTAAATTTAATCCATTGCTTACATCTCCAGTTCATTTTGCCAATTTCGAAAGGGAATCCCTGGAGAAATATTCGCTCGTCGCTGAGAGCATACTAACCATCACTGACAATCCTTTTTGGCGTTTCAGCTTACCTATGCCACAAACTAATTCAAACTTTGTTCATGATAATATCAGGTGTGTATTTCCTACTTATCATGCGTCCCGTTTTTTGTATCAGATTATGCTTTGATCACCATGTCCTGAATTGCCGAGAAGAAACGGTTTTCCTACATTAACAAACACTGTATTGGGCATGTGAATTTTGGTAGCTATTAATTCGAAGTGTGCCCACGCACTCTCATTACACACGCAACAGGTGTACTGAGTGAGAAATCATGCACATCTAACAACCCACGTAAGACGCGGACCCGACAGTCAATGTGAGTAGGGTCTGGCGCAGGCATGAAAGCTGTGTATCCCGTCTTTCCTGACAACGGACAACTGTTGCAACGTCCAAGCTGTGTGGTGGTGGCGGTACTCCATGTCTATGCGTCTCGCGAACATTCTATCACGTAGACTCAGGTTGGTGTACCACGCGGATAAAGATCTATAGTACCTTAGCCCGAATCGGTTTAAACCTGACTGAGAATACAACATGTTCTGCCAATAGCAAGATCAACACCTTAACAGTTTCCATACTAAAATTATCCACAGACGAGAAACAGGATAATTTTGATGAAATGTACCCGCATCACCTGTACGTTACCCACCATTTTTTGAGGAAAGAAAATTAAAATGAGTAGGGAGCCAACGTACTTAACCCATAGATAAAGAGGCACATGTTAGGCCGGGTGTGCGTTGTCAGCATCGTAAATGGCATGAAAAAACAGGTTGTACATAGATGGGAGAGGGATGAAAAACTCCATGTGGAAAACTCTACCCAAAGAGCCCAAATCAGGACAAAACTGAGCGGTCGTGAATTGAAGCTTTTGAAGTGAGCAGTTCGATTTCTTTTCCACCGGTGTGTCAGAACAACACCGAAAAGTTTCTCGAAATTCACCCTAAAAATTAACTACAGATCAAAATATGGTAGCCACGAAATAACAATTTCATTCTGCACTGCTTTCGTTCCAAAAATAGCTCCAACAATCTTACTGCTGGATAGCAAGGTGTAAGCAAAAGATGGTAAAACTGTGCAATAGTAGTATCACAGAACACAAAGCATTATTGAGTGAATTAATCGACTGATCATATCGCAGTCAACATCGACAAGACGTCACAATATATGTGAACGTGAATTTGCCCACTGGGCTCTCATCACTGGCACAGATGTTTAAGTGAATGCAGCAGAAGTTTGTCCAAAGACTATTGAATATCCGACCACAACTAATTTTTCATATCTCGCTTATTCAAGCCAAATTTCATACTCCTCATGCGGCATGCGAAGGCATGGTGGTGATTAAGGATGATCATGAGTGAAATCTTGAAGAAGCTATGTACTGGTGAGCCAAGGGTCAGACAATACGCAACGTGAACAGAAGCCCAGTTGTTCAGATGCGCCACCAACACATCCCACTCAGAAACCGAGAGATCGCATCCTAGCGGCTACTACCAGATCACCCGGCCTCACTGGGTTCACGCAAATTTACCCAGGTTGTTTAGAACAGACGAAGGTGCGCTTAAGCTTGATAAATTGTACACCAGCTTGTCAAAGATGGCACCCATAATTATTGGGGTACTCACCTCCCACATAGTGCGTATTTCCCACCGGTACCGTCACGTCGAATATGCTATCCAACTGTGATATGTATGACGGAAAACTGACGCCGTGACCTTGCCGACCTCACAACGTCGGCTAGCGACGAATGTTAAATATCTGCTTTACCTTCATTATGAGCGAAACTTGAAGAGCAAGTACTTAGTGGGCGATACTAATGGCCCTGAGGCGGCTTCTTGCTGGCTCGCCAGATGTTGTGCTCCCTCAATCATATGCGCAATCACGTCACTAAGTTAAGAAATGACATCCTGAAGCTAAGTAATTAATACAATCTCCTAGATTTCCGCGATACCTACCTTTCCCGTCGGACTTGCAACCTCTGAAATGTTCTCTAAAATCTAAGTTACCTTTGATTCTTTGTTGGTCGCCTTCAAACTCGTACAGTGCAGCATCCAATTTCGTACACTAACTTTGGCAATCGGAATATTCTAAGTATAAATTTATCACACGGAAATGCATTTGTGAAATATACGTATCATAGATAACAGTACAGGCAAGTGCGCGCTTTGTTAATCACACAAGGTACCGTAAGTATAGCAACCTCCGTTTTGATTTGCTATGCTATATTTAATAGATACCATTACTGGCTCGGTAACCATGTACATTGAAATCCTATTACATGGTCCTCCGTTGTTTCAATAATCTATGCGTTATTTCGTGGGGATGTACCCACGGACGCCGCGGATTTTTGGATTCACGTGCTGGATTCCACTTTTGCTTCGGAATTACTGTGTTTTGCGTTATCTTTCTGTGTGAATTGTGCACCAATATATTTCATTTGGTGTATTTTTCTATTCCTGCAAATTTGATTGAGGATCTCTTGCTAATTGGGGAGATCTCATCGATTGGCCATTCACGACGAAACTGCAAAATTCGGCAATGGTTCGTAGTACAGCTACAAGGAAAACAAGTGCTCGTCGGCCCACGCAACAGCAAACGAAAGTGATTTGTGCTTTGAAATCGTGCTCTAAAACAATCCGGATTGCAATAAGTTGTAATATCTGTGAAAAGAGCTTTCATCCCCGGTGCACAGGTGTGGCAAAAATGAAGGAACGACCTTGCACATCAGACTCCATTTGGTTCTGTGCTGAATGCATGGCCAACCCGCTCGTGAGGTGCGTTGCTCTACTGACAGAGAAATGTGACAAACTAACCCAAATTGTGCGACTAGCAACAGCTGAAACAGCGGGTGGATCGCAACCAGCTGGTGCCGCACTCGACTCACGTTGTCTAACCGTATGCCCACACCTGGCACAAACCAGTCAAAACGATTGTTTAGTAGAGAGCATACATCCCGCAACCCCACTCACGATAGGCTGCAAACAGAGAGTTTATGAAAGACTGCCAACCCCGGCGAATCCAACGTTGCAGAGTTCGGTTTTCCCGAGTGATATGGCTGTGGCTCATGATACTCCAGTGCATTCCGATTTACTGAATAACACAGGTAGTCCGACTACCTATGCAAATATCGTCGCTGATTGTCCACCCGTGGCAAATTTAACCAGCGTGTCTGCAAGCACACCGAAGGTTGTTAGAGGCGACACTAATAACAATGTGTACACGAAAAGATTTCCCCCCACGCCGCCGGTAATAGGAGGCATGCTGGCATCCAAATGTACGAACTCCAAGAAGATGCAGAGTTCGATGAAGATAATATGCTCTAACGTGCCTGAGTCAAAGGCAAACTCTATCAAAGATAGACTACTGGACGACATGAAACAGTGGGAATCCATATGCCGAGCAATTGGAATGCAGCCTAAACAGGCTAGCTTATGTCGTATCATCCGCCACCCCAACTCACTTCACTATGGCGAGCCGAGACTACTTCAAGTGACATTGCAGTCCGGTAACGAAGCAGAGACAGTCCTCTTGTCAGCTCACCGTTTTCGTGATTCATCATGCGGAGTTCGCATATTCCCGGATATACCTTGGAGTGAGCGTCGACAACGAAAACAAAATCCTGGAGAACACCGCAAGCAAACTGATGAAAGATCCATCTTTGTCCATGGTGTCCCCGAAACACAGGCACCGGAAGAGTCGCAGGTCAAAGCTCATGACTTGGAAGAGTGGCGGTGTATTCGCGAAGCACTATCTCTCCACGACGTAATTGCCAGCTCAACATCGAGGTTACCCATATCGCCAAACTACAAAGGAAGTGGTCCACGAGTGCTTAAAGTCTTGCTTTACTCCAAACAAATGGTTGAAACGGTGCTCGGGAATTGGCACAAGTTCCGCACCGAATTGCCATCAGAAATACGTCTGAAGGCGGTTGGAACCAGGCCACCAATGGATAAGGGAACACGAAACCAGCAAGAAGTAGTCGCGATCCCCGCTGTCTGCATTTCTGTACCGGAACACAATGAAACGCCCCAGCCGTTCGATGAAGAAGGAAAAGACAGTCTGCTGCAGATCGACTCAGGGCGCTGTAGGCATCCCACCGTAACGGCCCCGGGAAGTTTGCAAGAGATACATCAAAAAACCTCCCTCAGCCGACCCAACAAGGGTCGGCGTAAATTCTCGGAAAACCAACGTATGTTCAAACACGCTTCTAACATCCGTAGTTCTCAATTGCCTTTAAACAAACGCCCAAGGGCTTCTAAGCA